GCTGCTCCTCCCTGTGTTTTCACAGTCACTCTCCTGGCTCCCCGCTGGACACATGCAGTCACGTGCATGTTAGTTACCCAGCCTTCTGTCCTGTGCACCGCTGACAGCATAGTGCCGCCAAGCTCTCCACAGGCCGCCAGCACTCCTGGTTGAGCACATGGAGTGAAGGTGTGGAGTTGGTAGCTCCCTGGACGATTCCCATGGAGGATGCTGGAGGACGCTGGAGGCCGTCATCTGCCCTCTGGGTCTGCTTTCTCCTCCTTGTGCATGCTGCTGGCTCCTAGTGGAACTCACCGTCTCCCAAACGGCCCTTTCCCGCGTCCTTGCTCCTGCTCACACTCTTCGCTCTGCCTGAGCCACCGTTTCCTCTGACACTTCCCCTGTCAGAGATGATCATGGGCTTCAAACTTTAGCCTACAAGCTGTTTTTCTCATCTCCTTTCAAATACCCTCTCTAACCCGCTGAACTATTCTCCCGCTGTGCTTCCATAGGCACTCACACCTTTATTATAGCGCTAATCACGTTGTGCTTTTATTAAATGCTGGTTTACCCGTCTCATCTTTCCTTCTAGTTCTTAATTCCCTCAAAAATATGTACCCCAGCATCTTATATATAATAGGGCCTCAGGAAATGAGAGCCGACTTAAAGCAAAGGAAAGATTATGATTTGATAGCTGTGTGTGATGGTAAAAAACTTGTTTTTCAAAACCATATGTTGAAGGAACTACTGGTCGAGAAGGCTTGAAGCCATTCACTGAGTTGACGTGTGGGATAGCTGCTGTCCTTCTGGGATGCCTTTGCCCTTACTCACGTTGCCTGACTTTTAAACCCCAAAGCAACCCGCTTCCTCCTTTGTTGATAGACACGTTTTAGTAGACTCATTTTCATATCCCAGGTCAAGGATTCTCTTTTAAGAATTCGGAGGGAAACATGATTCATGTTTCTTTGAAATCCTACATCCACCTCTCCAACAATTCAGTTCTCATCCAAGCTGTTCCTAGAAATAGCCCAAAAATCATTAAAATGTTTCTCTTTCAGGGTCTGCAAGGAATTGTGCTTCTTTTCTAAATGGTATTGAACTCAATGGTTGCACAGTCAGCAGAAGACTCTTCTCACGGGCCTTCAGTGATGAGGCTTTCCTCTCCCTCTGATTGTATATATTTTATTGTGTGGAACCAGATGTGGTGTTGAATAAATGGTCTCCTCTTTTTTTTATCAGGTTATGGTGGAGAACTCAGATTTCACTCCCTCACAAGTAGGGTGTCTGTTTACATTCCTTGCCCGCCAGCTTGCAAAACCTGACAATACACTGTTTGTAAACAGAACCCTTTTTGACCAGGTAAGTGTCTTTAACAATGAGCACCAGAATTATTTTTCTTCTGTTTGCTGTTCATACAAAAATTCACTGGACTACAGTGTTTCCTAATATGATAGACTGTTGGATGAGTGTCTCAGCAAGGAGAGGCCTGCAGGCTTCAGTTTGGATCTAAGCTAGCCTTTTTTCAGTGATGTCCTCTGGATGGTATGACTTCGCCTAATAACCTGGTATCATGGGAGTGTAGTTTGTGGAGACTGGTTTATAGAGATTCTCTTGTTTCAATTCTTCTGTTGCTTTATATTGTGTAGAATTCTTTACACAAGATTTTTCCAGTTTAAGAATCGCCCCGATAGTAAGACTTTGGTGATGATCATCAGAGGAGAGATTGCTTTTGGAAGATTGGAAATTACTTACAGATGACCTGGTCTCTGCAGGTCTCCTGCATTTCTATAGGTGTAAAGAAAATACTTTTATTCTGAAGAAATAGTAGCTAATAATGACTAGCAGCTGTTGAGCACTTCATGGTGCCAGGCACGCTCCAGAGCTTTATTCCTGCCACTAGCTCTGAAATGGATACCGTTGTTATCCCCATTTTGCAGATTAGGAAGCTAAAGGCTGGAGAGATTAAGTAACTCATCCAAGGGCATACTAAGTAAGGGCTGTTACCAGCAGTAAGTGTTATTACTAAACATTAATAAAGTTAGGATTCAAATTTAGGTGACCTGACTCCAAAATGTATGCTTTGCGTGCTCCATGGTATCATGCAACTTCAAGTGAAGGTATATAAATGTTGCTGCCTTCTAGTCATGTTTTAAACAGTAAAGAGATGCAGGGTTCATACTGAACTGTTAAACCGTTGGTATGCCCGAGCCTGATGCTTCATGTACATAGGCCGGTCAGCCTGGGAAGATGGCACACACCTGTGGTGTTCGTTGTGGCAGAGGGAATGAATTGGCGATAATGGAGAGACAGTGACTGTTATTTTCCTTATGACAGTGTTGTGGAATACATGCTGGTGTCCAACAAAAAATACTTCTTCTTTGACCAGGTCCTTGAATTCCTCTGTAGTCCTGACGATGACTCCAGACACTCTGAAAGGCAGCAGGTATGCACGACTGGAACTCTTTTTGCTAAAGAATGAGAAAGATGACAGAGTAAGCCAGAAGGAACTCTTCTGCACTAGACATAAGGGGGAAATGGCTTTTGCCAGACCCTGATACTAAGCTACAGAAAGTAGCAATCAGAACATAGACTGGCTGGTTGTCAGAGGTGTATATGTATATATATAAAAGGAGCTTATATCAAACGATATTCTAGGCACACTGGACCCACCTTGCATAAAGCATGGCATCAGAGAGAATACTTCATCCTTCTCCATTATGTAGCAACAGTTAGTACTTATTGTACCCTGTTTTCTACCAGTGTCCTTAATCTGATAACCACTGTTGCCTGCTGTGGCCCTGTACCAGCAAGCCGCGAGATCCCTGAGTATTGGGGCATTCAGCTTTGGGGAGTGCCTTATAGCTCTGCTGAATTAGGGCTGATCGTTTCTGGAGACTGGAATCCATCAGGCCCCCTACTGATGACTGTGAGATCGTAGCTGTTTGGTTACACTTCTTTCTACCTGTGCCACCTACAAGGGTCCCTTCTGGGAGCAGATGTCTGTTAAAGCTTACCCAGTATAATTGTGAGCACTAAAAGAGTCATCCCATGTAAGATCGATAGCCACACTCTATCAGGTAAGTACACTACACAGATCAAGTATTTTGAGAGCTGTGCTGATGTTTTATGCTAATAGGGCCGAGCTGGGAGGTCGAGGCTCCGGTAAAGAACATAGCGACCCCTCTCTTCCTCTGCACAGCTACGGCCCAGTACCTGCTGCAGGCTTGGGAAAGAGAGCAGCTGTTAAAAATTTGGTTCTCTCTTTAGAGTATATTGAATACAAATAGTAAAGTGGTCCCTTAGTTTGCCATTTATTTTGTCTGTTGACAGTAAGATTGCATCTTGGTATACATGGTGTCTTAGTCATCTAGTGCTGCTATAACCGAAATACCACAAGTGGATGGCTTTAACAAAGAGAAATTTATTTCTTCACAGTAAAGTAGGCTAAAAGTCCAAATTCAGGGCGTCAGCTCCAGAGGTAGGCTTTCTCTCTCTGTTGACCTTCTCATCAGTGTTCCCCCGGACTAGGAGCTTCTCCACACAGAGACCCCGGGTCCAAAGGATGCGCTCTGCTCCTGGCATTGCTTTCTTGGTGGTGTGAGGTTCCCCCCTCTCTGCTCGCTTCCCTTTCCTTTTTATCTCTTGAGAGATAAAAGGTAGTGCAGCCCACACCCTAGGGAAACTGCCTTTACGTTGGATCAGGGATATGACCTGGGTAAGGGTGGTGTTACAATCCTACCCTAATCCTCTAACATAAAACTACAATCACAAAATGGAGGACAACCACACAATACCGGGAATCATGGCCCAGCTAAACTGATACACACGTTTTCTGGAGGACACAGATCAATCCATGACAGTGGCCTAGCCAAGTTGACATACAATCTTAGCCATCACGTGTGGTATTTCTATATAAAATGATAAGTTTTTTTACGTAAATAACTGACTTAAGCAGAAATAAAACCCAACTCTAAATGTAAAGGTTAAACTTTGAAAAGTAGTCATGGTACATTAATCATAGTACTGCCAGTCTCCTTTGAGATGATCTGGTTTTCCCTCCTCGTTTTAAAAATATAGGAAACTGATGAAGTAAGTTGCTCAAGGTTGTAGTTAAGATTAGAACCCAGTTCCTTCCCTTCTAATCCAGCACTCTTTCCCTTGTACCATTTGTTCTGTATCAGATTTGTTTCTGCAGTATCTTTGAGTAATTTCCAGTGGCGTGCTGATAACTGCTTAACAAGGGGCTTACCAAGAGTAGTTCCAATCTGAGTGTTGGCTGATAGTTGCATTTATATAAACAAATAAGACGAACGTGACACAGTGAAGACTTGTTTCAGAACTTCATTTATTCTTCAAGGACATGACTTCTTGGCTGAATCAGATAACAATTTGGAAATACTAGAAACATATTTTCTCAGTGTTTTGGTGCTCTTTCCAGTATAACCACTACAGACACGCACGCTTTTATTCCAATTGCCTTATTCGCGTTTTCTCCACCACTTTCTTAGCCAGGGATTGGCAAGCTTTTTCTATAAAGGGCTAGATAGTAAATTCTTTAGGCTTTGTGAGCCATATATAGTCTCTGTCACATATTCTCGTTTGCTTGTTTGACAACCCTTTAAAAAGGTAAAACTATTCTCAGCTTATTGGCCTTATAAAATAAGGCCGTGGTCAATAGTTTGCTGATGATCAACACAGCAATAAATCAAGCCCTAATTTATAGCATTTGCCAGTGTCCATGGCCAATTTCAACATACCAGCATGATTTATCACTGAACCTGCAGCTGGGAAAAGATGGGTAGTAACACATCTATATTTCCACCATGGGTAGTAACACACCCTTATATAATATTTCCACCATACAGATAGTGTAAATAACCTCCAGAGCATAGATAACGACAGAGTATAATAAAATAATCAGGAAGTGGTGAGTTTTGAGTATCACTTTTACCATTGTTTTTCATATAATTTATTTAATTGTAAATTTGTATAATTTGATTTTTAATCATGGCCGTGTTGAACAACCAGGGTCTTGGTTTCCTGGTGCTGCTGTAACAAAAATACCACAAGTGGATGGCTCTAAAGAACAGAAACGTGTCTTCTCACAATTCTGGAGGCTAGAAGTCCAGATCAGGGCATCGGCTCCAGGGAAAGTCCCTCCCTTGTCTCTTTCTGCTTCAAGACACCCCTCAAAAGGGATTAGGATTAGGACCCACCCTACTCCGGTGTGACCTCATTAACGTAGCAAAAGAAAAACCCTGTTTCCAAACAGGGTCACATTCACAGGCACAGGGGTTAGCACTTCAACTGTCGTTTTGGAGGGACACAATTCAGTCCGTAACGGCCAGCTTGCAAAGTTTCTAAAAATGTGACCGTCAGTTCTGGTGAGTTGGTAAGGCTGGCTCCAGCGCCGGCACTTCTGTTCTATCCTTCCACACGGCGGCTTCCAGCAGATGTGACTCACTCTGTGTTTGTTCTATGACCACATGGTACTGCTTAAAGTGGGTTCCGTTGGAGTTCTGAAATGTATCGTTTGGGTAGGTTTTATTTCTTTTCTGCCTTTTTAAAAATTTATTTAACTTGAAAGTAAGCAATTTACTGTGTTAGACAAATACTTGGTAAAATGGCTTCCTGGAGTTCTGAGAAGGGTCGTGTCACTCTGCATCCTGAATTTAAATACAAGAGAGAACTGTCTGGTGTTGCTCTAATGACTCTTTGTTTTGTTTTTCTTTTTTTTTTAAATAGTATTTTATTGTGTTTTTGGTGAACATTTACACAGCAGTTTAGGTTCCCATTCAACAATTTTCACAAGTTGTTCAGTGACATCGGTCCCATTCTTCACAATGCGTGAACATTCTTGTCATTTCCGTTCTGTTGTTCCATTTCCATTAAGCCAGTTTCCCAGTTTCCCTGCCCCCTTACCTTCTCATCTTTATTTTAAAGTGATTGTTGACCGTTGGGTCTCATACAGGTGATTTCCCCCATATGTGCAGAGTAGAACTGCTCTCTTTAGGGTAGTTTTTTGAGGTCATCCTGGTCACCTTTTTCACTCAGCTACTTAGTGTGGTAAAAATTAATTATAAGGGCCCCAGTATTTAAGTAGAAAAATGAACGTGTGAACACAGATACTGCCTGTGGACATCAGGCTTCAAAGCACCATAAAACGTGAAAACACCAGACACTCACTTACTTCTGGGACAAACACTCACTTCTGGGACAAAAACTCACTTCTTGGGACAAACACTCACTTCTGGGACAAAAACTCACTTCTGGGAAGGCTGCACACAGGCGTTTCCAACTTGGTGGGGGGTCAGTTTAATTTTCTAATAGGGCTTTTTATACAATCAGTGTGGCATTCCTTCCATGTGTGAAAGACAGAACTCATTTATCTTTTTATAAGACTTACATATGATATAATCAGCATTGTAACGCCAGCCTAACGTCTTGCTTCTGTAAAAGCAAACCAAACATCGTCAAGAAGGAAGACACACAAAATACAACTTACAGTCGGCATGGCTGAATGCGTTCTGAAAGAGGTAGTCATTAAAAATAAATTCCAACACGTTTTCACTCGTTTATCTTAAATGTTCAGGTCCTTTTAGAATTGCTGCAGGCTGGAGGCATAGTTCAGTTTGAAGAGAGTCGGCTCATCCGCATGGCAGAGAAAGCTGAGTTGTAAGTTGCTTTGAAACCGTTTATTAGTTTCCCATAAAACTATTACGTTTCTCTAATTTGAAACCCAGCCTGTTAATGCGTTGCTGCTTTTTTAATATGAAAAGATTATGCACTTAACAACAAAACCTAAATGTGAAAGTTTTTGCCTTTCAGTTTAAATCTAGGAATTAGTAAAATATGCAGAAATTGACAGGTAAATTTAAAGTGTTTAATTATTTTACTTAAAATATCCATGGTACTTTATAGATTTTTAACAGGTATATATGTTATAAACAATGCAGAGTTAACAGCAGGTAAGATGCAAGATGCTTATTCCACTGCTGTTTATCTAGTTTGTTGAATGTTGTTTTATTTGACGTATTTAATTCTGAACAAAGACTCTTCGTATAAAATTTTTGCAGATCAGTAATGGATATCTAGTATATCGACTATGTCTTACATGACACAGTGTTGCTTTAACATTTCTTTTGTACCAAGCTTTGAAATTCCTTACAAGCATGGTACTCAGCAGCTTCTTAAACCTATATTTAGAGGAATGGCAGATACATACATATCTCCCTTAGACGCTGTATCTTCATTTAACAGAAGTCACATCTACTGTACTCATTTCTCTTAATACTGACCTATACGCCTGAGAAAGCGTCTCAAAGCAATAAAGCTAATAACCACCTGCCTGTTCAGTACAATGAAGTTTTTCCTTTTACATTCTAGCTATCAAATTTGTGAATTTATGTATGAACGAGAACACCAGTATGACAAAATTATTGATTGCTACTTACGTGACCCACTGAGAGAGGTGAGTTAAGAAACTGATGTACCCTTTTTTCTTACTCAGTTTTCTTTTTTTCCTTTACTGAGTAAAGAATAACTGTTCAGTAATTATAACTGTTTAAAAGAAATATTTGGACACTCCAAGGTTTTCTTCATTTATTTAACAGCTTTTTATTGTGTGTGGGTGATGAGCCAAGTACACGTTGACAGTGAAAACAAATAGAGTCCCTGCAGTCTTGGAACTTAGAGTTTAGTGAGGGAGTCTGACAGTAAACAAACAAACAAAAACCGAAATCTGTAATTACAAGTTGTGGTAAGGGCTGGGAAAGATAAAACAGGAGACAACTTTAGAGGCTGATGGGAGAACTAACTTACACAGACCAAGCAGAGAGGTAATCTCAGAGGAAGTGACATATCAACCGAGGTCTGGAATTTGAGGAGAAGCCAGCCAAGCAAAAAGTGAAGGGAAAAGTGCTCCAGGACAAGGAACAGTATATGCAAAGGCCTTGAGGTGAGAAAAATGTTGACATGTTCAAGGAACTGAGTAGAGATCGCATAGCTGAAGTGAAGATCAGCAGAGCTGGAGCCTAATAGACAAGGGCGAGACTGGTTTAAGATGAAACTGGGAATGTGGACGGGAACCACCAAAGGCAAAAGTCCAGTGTTCACTCGTTAGGTTATTGGAGGTCAATAACTGAGACCCAGATTAATTGGAACAGGTATGTAACTTTTAAGAGTGTACTCTAAACAATTACTTTTTCTCTTTAGTGTCTGTTATCCATCAGTTAACTACCTCCAAGTGGTTTTCTATGTCCAAATACTAGATGTTTACCAAGACTAGCACAGATACTAGATCGTGACTAAATATTGCATGAGTGAATAAGCGGATAAATCCTATTGTCTTGTGCTCTTCAGGAAGAAGTCTTTAATTACATTCACAATATCTTATCCATCCCTGGACACAGTGCAGAGGAGAAGCAGGCTGTATGGCAGAAAGCAATGGATCATATTGAGGTACTGATTCAACAAAAATTTTCAGACTTCCCCATTTGAATGCATATCTCCTAAATTAACTTTATGCTAACCAAGCAGTGGCAAGTATCATATTATTCAGTTGATTTGCTTGAAGATTATAGTTGTTTTCATATAATTTATTCCATCCTATATTTGCATTCATAAAGCCTGTGTTGTATATTGGAGCCCTGGTGGCTCAGTGGTTAAGAGCTCGGCTGCTAATGAAAAGGTCCACTGTTGAAATCCACCAGCTGCTCCTTGGAAACTCTGGGAAGCAGTCCTACCGTGTCCTGTAGGATTGCTGTGAGTCAAAATCAACTCGACAGCAATGGGTTTGAGATGTCATATACAGTTTATTATGTTACAGCTTCTGAAACTAGCCCATGTTCAGTCAGCTGGGGACAAACTGTAATATTAGTGGGTTTTCACAAAGTTCTTAGAAGGATTCTGACAGTACTTCTGGTCTTTTTCCCGGATAGGTGATGGGAGCCATTCCCTCGAGTCACCCAGTAAAACTGTAGAAATGTTCCTGCAGTGAGTGGCTCTCTGTGTACTTCCTTCCCTTGGGTAACAGGACGGTGAAGCTGACCTCGCCCGGCCAGCTGAGTCGCTGATTTTGTTTGTGCGTGCTGTTTTCCGGGAATTCAAGAGTTCACTTCAGTATTGGAACAAAAAGCTCCTTTTAAAAAACCTGCACGTAGATGCGTAATGAAGAGACTAATACACGTCCTGCGTTCTGAAAGAGACTCAGAATCCCCCCCTTAGTGTGGTTGACTGGGGTGCATAGCATACCGTTTACCTCAGAAACCATCAGAGCTGGTGGTTTTGTTGAAATCCGTTCTGTTTTGTGGGTCCTTGATTACTGACAAAAAGTAGTGAGGAAGGAAGCCGAGGCAGTCCTGTTTTGGGAAGTAACCTTTATTATCTACAGAGTTTCTTTTGTTCTTCACATAGCAAGGATCCAGTGGAGGGACAGCTTTTGGTGATGGCTTGAGAGATGTGGTGACAGATATGATTACCCACCATGTTTTAAAGTTTCTTACACCACTGAAAAATGTTAAGAAAGGGTGAGCTCTGAAACGTTGAGAAAGCATTGCACGTTATTGGAATACCTTCTTGTTTTAGTTGCTGAAGGTTGTAAAAGTGTGGAAAGATCAGGTACGTGAAGAGGAACTTCAGTGAAACATCTGGTGTGAACGGTGTTGGTCAGTCATGAGAAGTCTGGTCTGAAGTCATCTCCACACTTCCGTGGACAGGGTTGAGAACGCAGAGTTATTTGATGCTATCACATTCCTTCTAACAACAACGTGAATGTATCTTGATGAAAGAACCCAGCAGGACCTTCTCCTATTTTGGGTTTTATCTTTTTTCCCTTCATTCTGTATTCTTTTTCCTTTCATCATCCTCTGTATGTCTCCATGGTTACATTCTGGCTCATTCTTCTTCTCACCTCATCTGCATTATGCAGTGGTCCATGCACATGGGCTCCAGACATCCAGAAATGAAGCCATGTCTCTCTGCACAATGCGAAACGTGAGGAATTAATCAATGAGCAAACAGAGTACTCAGCAGAAAACTCAGGCTAGAGAAGCAAGATGCATTTTGCTGCACAACAGTTATTTCTGCTGAGTATTTTCCCCACATCTGCACATTCTTTCACCTTGACCCTTTTAGTATCTCTTAAGGCCACTGTTAAATACATAGACTTTTTGATGAAGGACTCCTGTGTCGTCAGTGATGTAAATGAAATGAAGATTAAATGCATTGCCATGTGTGCATTAGTGGTCCTTAACACTTTCGGGATTATAGACCTCTTTTGAGAATCTAACGAGAGGTTCGGACCTGTACCTTGTAATATTGCGCACGTGCATAGACACATCATTTTGTTCACAAATTTCAGGTATCACCCACTGAAAAACCAGCCCACTGCCATCAAGTCGATTCCGACTCATAGCGACCCAACAGGACAGAGCAGAACGCCCCATAGGGTTTCCAAGGCTGTAAATCTTTATGGAAACAGACGCTACATCTTTCTCCCAAGGAGCAGCTGATAGGTTCAAACTGCCAACCTGTCGGTTGGCAGCCGAGCGCTTTAACCACTGCACCACCAGGGCTCCTTTTCAAGTATTACCCTTAAAAAAAACCCATTGCCATTGAGTCGATTCCGACTGATAGCAACCCCATAGGACAGAGTAGATCTGCCCCCATAGGGTTTCCAAGGAACAGCTGGTGGATTTAAACTGGCAACCTTCTGGTTAGCAGCCGAGCACTTAACCACTGTGCCACCAGGGCTCCTCAGGTATCACAGACCCCCCCTAAGCTGTTCGCAGATGACGGGCTGTGGACCCCAGGAAGGAGTCTCTGGTTTAGACAAGTTTTCTAACATGGACAAAGCATATTTCATTAGATTTTTTTTTTTATATTTTTTATTTTGAAATCTAAAAAATATCCAGAAAAGTGTATAAAACAAATGAACAGTTTAATAAAAAATTAAAAAGCAAACACGCAAAGTCCAGGTCAAGAAATAGAATACTCCCAGTACCCAGACTCTTCCCGCGCATCCTTTCCTGATCGCAAACCCTGCCTTCCTTCCGATAGACCCATTATCCTGATTTTTGTGATAATTTCTCACCTTTCTATATACTGTTACTGCACATGCATGCCTCCCTAAAATTATGTATTTTAGTTTCTCATTCTTCTGAAGTTTGTCTAAATGAAGTTATACTCTGTATTTTTTGTCTTCTTTTGCTCCGTATTTTGAGAAGTTCATACATTTTGCTGTATATAGCCGTAATTCATCTTTATTATTGTGTCGTATTTCATTTCATAAGTATATCACAGTTTATATAGCCTGCTGTTGATGGACATTTGAGATGTTTTGGGTTTTGACTTTTAGAATTAGTCCATCCGTGATCATGCGTGTGTATCCGTCTTCAGCACAGCTGCATGCATTTTTCTGGAAGAGTGGTTCTCAGTCTGTTCCCAGAACAGCGTTACAGCATAAGCTGAGAGGGAATTTGACAGAAATGCAGGTTCAGACTTCACATCAGATATACTGGATCAGAAACTTTGGGGTTGGGCCCAGCAGTATGTGTTTTAACAAGACCTCTAGGTGATTCCGATGTGTGCTAATGTTTGATAATCTCTGCTCTAGGGTGTAATTGCTAGTTATTAGGGATGAGTATCTTAAACTTCACTAGATGACCGCATTGTATGAGGATTCCTATTGGCTGTATATCCTTGCTAGACTTTCTAATTTTGCCAGTCCAGTAATTGTGTAATGATATCTCATTGTGTTTTAAATTTGTTTTCTTAATTACTAATGATAATGACAACATTTTCATATGTTTATTGGCCATTCAGTTTTCCTCTTTTGTGATGTATCTTTTCAAGTCTTCTGCCCACTCTTCTATTTGAATGTCTTTTGGACTTATTGATTCGCCGGAGTTCTTTATATATCATGGATGTAGGTTTTTTTCAGTGATGTGTGTTGCAACTGTTGTCTCCCGCTCCGTGACTTTTCCTTTCAATTCTTTTATGGTTCTTTTAAAGAAAAAGTTTTATTTTTTCCCCTAAGTGGTCAGAATGATCCATTTTTCCCTCTGTAGTTGAGGAGATATCCCAATATGTTACCATCTAAAAGGTTTCTTGTTTTGTTTTCATCATTAGATCTTAGGTCCACCTGAAAGCAATTTTGTATATGGTGTGAGTCCGATTAATTTTTCTTTTAAAGTAAATGGATTCTCAATTGTGCTAGGAACAGTAATTTTAAAAGGTTGCCTTTCCCCATTGCTCAATAGTGCTACCTTTGTTATATGTATATGGAGTGTCTATAGGCTTGGTCTATGTTTCTGGGCCCTCTTATTTCGTTGGTCTATTTGTCCCTGCATCAATACCACGATTTTATACGTTGTAGCTTTATAATAAGTCTTGGTATCTTTAAGAGGGTCTTGTTTTTTCTTGACCTTTTGTACTTCCAAAGGCATTTTAGAATCAACTTGTCAAGTTCCACCAAAACATTTTTTAAAAATCTTATGACTCGGATGGGCAGTACATTGAATCTATCAATCATTTTGAAAATATTTGACATCTTTCCAATGTTGAGTCTTCCAGTCTATGACTACATAGTCTAATCCTTTATTCAGTATCTTTCTATAAAGTTTTATAATTTTCTCTGTAGAGGTCTTCAATCCTTTGTTAGGTTTACTTTCACAACTTTATACTTTTTGATAGTCTCATAAATGGTATTTTTAAAAATGTCATTTCCAACATAAGTATAATGTTTACTATTCGGATTTTAATGGAGGTTCCCTTCTATTTTAGTTCACTAAAGGTTTTCTCATGAGTGGATTTTGAATTTTTTCTCCCTTACTCTGTTTTTGTGATAAAATTTATTGATTGACTCTCTTGAATTCTGCAGATATGTCCAACTTGATTCTGATTCTTTTTATTCATTGTTGAACTTAGCTTGCTAGTATTTTATTTAAGATGTTAGATCAATGTTCATGGTTAAATCATGGGTCTGTGATTCTCCTTTGGGTTTTGGTATCAAAACTTTGCTTTCCTCATAAAATGAGCTTAAGAACATTCCTTTTTTCTGTTCTGGAAGAGGCTATTTAATTTTGGAATTATTTTTTTCTTAAATGGTTATTAGAACTTTCCAGTGAAACTGTTTAGGGCTGGAGTTCTGTATGGAAAGATTTCTGATGACTCACCCATTTTCCTTAATGGTTAAAAATCAGTTCAGGTTTTCTGTTCTTGAGTCAGTTTATTAAATTATATCTTTCTAGGTATTTATCAGTATTGTCTAACTTAAAAAATTTTGGCATAAAGTAATTGATTGTGGTCTCTTTTATATCCTTTTATAGAAGATCTGTGGCAATAGCCCCTTTTGCATTTATGATATTGGTTAGCTATATTGCATAAAAGTAGTACAAGCTACAGTGATGTGTGTCAGTTAATTATTATTAATCTACCGATAACTATCTAACACAATAATTTTAGAGATATAATGAATATTGCAGTCACAATAACTTGTCCAAGTTTTGTTTGGTAACATGCCATGTTGATTATATATTTGGTCTTTGCATTTTAGTCAGGTAACATGGTTGTGTTGGCTCCCAGTGTTCCCGCAGAGAAGGTGCAGTCGGAAGGGTAGAATAGTTGGTCCCAGAAACCAAGTGAATAGAGAATGCCAAGAAGAAAAGCGTAGTCAGCAGTGTCAAGGAAAGTTCAAGGAGAGAGCGGATTGTAAGTCTTGGATTTGACAGAAATGGGTCTTATTAATGCTGAGCACAGTGGTCAACCTTTTAGTTTCACTTAGGACCAGTGACCTTAAGTTGCTTTCTTAAGACCCTTCCAGTTTCTAAATCCCCTAGGCACTAGAAGTTAAGTTGAGGATTCTTAGCCAGAGACATTACCATTATGCTCCCGTTTTCACTTCTTCAGGTTATTACTTTAAGCTCAAGGGTGAAATTCACTGACAGGGAATTTGAGGAGCTTTTGTTCCTTCCGCTCATCCTGTAGAGATGATGGCCTAAGTCCAGAGCTTTTTAGTGCTTTCATCTTCTAAGAATTCTGAATTACCTTTTTTTTTTAAAAAAAAATAAAAATCTGGTTTATTATATGGCGCATTTCCAGTTCTGCTCATGTGCAACGTGCCCTTGAAATTGCGGCCCTATATCCAGGTCTCCAGAAGTGCCGTGTAGAAACGTCTGACAGTATTGAGGCAGGTAGTCATACCTCACGCCTGTGGATATTCTATTTAAATATAATGTTGAAGATGATTTTGTCTTTTTCTTTAACTCCAGGAACTTGTGTCCCTGAAGCCCTGTAAAGCTGCAGAGCTGGTTGCTACCCACTTTTCTGAACAGATTGAAACAGTCATTAAAAAACTTCAGGTAAGCATTACAGAAGTGTATTAGGAAAAAACGCCTATCAGAGAGACTCTCTAAGAATGTCTGATCACGGCAGTTTCTTCAGCTCATAGTTGCCGTTTAATAACAATTTCCACACTGTGTGTGTGTGCGGGGGGGTCTTTGGTACCAGTTACTCTGGGCCTGGAGATGAGGAAGTTCATCTTTGTGCATAACAGATGCAACGTCTGTGAAACATCTTTGGAAGTATAACGTGTGCTTCTAGAAATCACAGTCCATAGAAGATGAACATTTTCTCCCATTTTCTTTGCTATAGGAACTACAGCCATGTTCTTTTTGAGGTTCATGTTATTTATTTAGACCTTTGTCATCCTCAAGTTGGGTTAATGAGGACTGTTTAGGGTTTTTCTTGGAAAATCTGAACTAGAACTTAGCTGTATTGGAGCCCTGGTGGCCCAGTGGTTAAGAGCTCGGCTGCTAACCAAAAGATCGGCAGTTCGAACCCTCCAGCTGCTCCTTGGAAAGCCTATGGGACAGTTCTCCTCTGTCCTGTAGGGTCGCTGTGAGTCAGAATCGACTCAACAACAACGGGTTTGGTTTTTCGGTTTGGTGTAGCTACACTGAATTGACTCGATGGTGACAGGTTTTTTTGGTTAGTTCTATTAATGCTGAATATCGAGAAGCTAAGTTTGAAATACTCTTTGATGGCCCCAGTATTCCACCCACCACTACTGCAGTGCTCGTGGTGAGTTCTGCCCACTGCTGTTAGGGCCTCAGGTGATAGTGGCAGGCAGGGCTCTCAAGAGGCAGTAAGACAGGTAGGGAAGAGGGAAGTAAGGTGGAAAGCCGAGGCATGAGTGGGGGGCAGCTGGCATGAGAGAGACAGACAGAGACGTGGCATTCACTCATTTTAATACTCATTGTGGTCCCACTCTGTGCCATGGTGTGCTAGACCCTGGGGGAGCAAATAAGAATACAACCTCTCCTTTACTTTTCCCTGTGGAGCAGAGAAGCACTTTATCTAACTGCAGCCCGATGTTATAAGAGCTAGAAGAAAGGTATGTGAAAGTGCTGTAGGAACCAGAGGAGAGAACCATGGACTGTCCAAGGAAGTCAGCAAGAATTCCCAGAGATGCCTGAGCTGGTTCCTGAATGATTGGTATGAGTTTTCTGGATAGGGAATGCAGGAAGGGCTTTCTGGAGAAAGGTTCTGGCTGTGGGAAGCCTTGAAGGCACGTCAGAGAGTGGTCAGGAATGTGGGGAGCGTTCTGTGGTGGGTGATGGTGGAAGTGGCATTAGAGTAAGCTGTGAAAGGTATGCAGAGGAGGAGTTAAAAGTACAGAGGCTGGAAAGTACAGGTTGGGGCCTAGTTTTGCAGGACCATGTGTATGGTGCTAAGACATTTATACAGCATCTTCTGTGTACTGGAGAATCACTAAAGTTTGTTTAAGCAGAGAGGTGACATCATTAGATTCATTTTCTAGAAAATTAACTCTGGATAGCATGTGGAGAACATACTGGTAAGGAGAGCAAACGAGGAGTGATGCCAGTTAGAAGGCAAGAGATCCAGGCGAAAGATGGTAAGCACCAGGGCTGAATCAGTGACAGTGGAGTGGACAGATCCAAGACGTATTTGTGAAGTAAAATGTATAGGGTTTGGAGTTGAGTGCTGTGGGAGGAGTTAAAAATGACTCCCAGATATCAGGCTTGGTGGTCCAGCATGGTGAGGTCCATGAACTCAGGAGGACTCATGCATTAATTCAGTAAACATTTATGTACCTGTGATGGGCCAAATTCATTGTTAAGTGCTGAGTGTAGAAAACTCTATAATGTGATACCTGCTGTCAAGGAAGGCAGGTAAGCCAAAGACAGTTACAGACTAGTTTGACTTGATCAGTGATAGGGCACTGTCTGGAATGCTGGGGGAGCACATGGCATGGGAGGCTCCATCCATCCTAGTGAAGGGCAGATGGGCGTTTCCTGCCGAAATGACTCTAAACCCCAGAGCCTCTAACCTTCAAAGTCAGCCATTTCGGTGAATATTCTTGCCTGTGTTGTTATTGTTTAAAACGTAAGATTATCAGTTTCAAGATTTTCTTTTTCATGTAGTCTCAAAAGATGCTAAAAGGCATAGAGGCCCAGGAAATTAATATAATGTCATTTATCAGATAAATATATAAAAGCTGAAGTGTGATGCATAAGAAAAAGGTGGCTGTGGAGTCTTAAACGTTTCTTTCAAAGAAATGAAGGATTTATCTTATTGCAGCGTTTTACTGATTGTGCAGGAGCTGCACACGGGTCTTATAAAGTACCTTTACTTTTGGGGGCAGAAATGTGCTTCTGACCAATCACTTTCAGAATCCTTGAAGTGGAAAATAGCTAAAATATTGAATCACCACCAGAAGGAAGATTACAGAAAATAAACAAACTTACAAGGCCAAGGGAAAGATAGAAAGTCAAAGATTGATATAAATATATTTTTAAAATCACATTCTAAAAGCCATTAATCCTTTTCAGCTTTGCGAGCCTCCCAATTTTTACAGGTAAAATTTGAATATGTCACACACACAAAATAAATAAAACCCCCAAATAATATAAAAACACTAACCAATAATAATTTTTGCTTAGCAAGAGCTTAAAAACATTATTTATACTTACATAGTATTCTAAGGTTTATTTCATTGAATCCTCATTTCCATCCTGTTCAGTGGAGATATTACTGCCCTATTTTTTCACATAAGGAAACTGAATTGCTCAGAGGGTCAGCGACTGTGTGCAGAGTCACATAGCTGATGAGTCCGAGCCAGAACCCACATTTTATGCCGTATTACTTGCTAACGTTGCAATTCTACTGCCATCTCTTCTGTAGTTGATTCTGCTGTGGAGTTAATGAGCATTTTCTGCTAATTTGGGCCTCCAACTCCCACCCTACCTAGACTGACGATCACACAGTAGGCCGTTTTCACAAGGAGGACCCGGTGAGGCAGCGTGACACTCCCGGTGCAGCCAGAGTCCACTGTCAGAAGGCCAGCTCCAGGCGCCTGCCTTTTGAAGGTCTTTGTGCCGGGAAGCTTAGGGTTTGCTGCCGTGGAGTTCTTCTTGGTGATAACAGGTGTTTGTGTTCCTTCTGCACTCAAAGTTGAATGTATGGCCGTGATTAGAGCCACTGAGAGGAAATGAAAGAACCTCCAAGTGAGTCTTGAGAGTTTCTCACACCTGCACACGGGGCTTAATGGATGGAGTCATCGGTGTGGGCGCTTTAAAGGGATAGTCGAGTTCTTTACCATGGCATAGTTTGAAGAACTTGTTTTAATATTTAATTGTCTTTTTTATTGTTTTTCTATTCAGAACCAGATTTTGCTTTTCAAATTTTTGAGGCACCTTCTTGACCCAAGGTATGTTAATAAACTGTAGTTTTTAGTAATGTGTAGTTGAGAAGTCAAAGGAAATAAATTGAGGTTAAGAAACTGACCCATGGTACCCAAATAGTACATCCAGCTCTTAATTTTTAATATTCTTGGGTAACAGTTATAGAGATTATCCCAAAGTATGTGATCTGAAAATAGGGTATATCTAGAGGGAATACTTTTCTTTTCACTTGGACACGAGCAAGCACGGTAAGTTCTCATCTGTGTCGGTAAAGTAAGGAAGCTGTGCCCCCAGGGAGTGTTCCAGGAGGAATTTGGTGACCATGCAGCTTTCCCTTTCTACCCAGCTTCACGTCTGCCTGTTGTTTATTCCACGCTGTGGATTGATAGCTTCACTTTTCAAAGTAAACACCTAGTTCCCAGCCTACCTCTAAATGTATTACCTTTTTAATGCTCCGTTGAAGTGTTTGATTTTAAATATCTTTTCCTGGCAGTGTGGGAAGGAAAGTTTAGATTTTTATTTATATATATATGATTATTTTTAATACGGTAGGCAAGTGTCTGGAGAGATACAACCCTAAATATGTACGTAACTCCAAGAAGGTGTGCCAATAATCTCAGCAGCGTGCTTTGTTCAGTGATGGAATGGTGTTGCTCTCATGCCTCTAAGTCCATCTTCTGTGGGTTGAAAGGGAAGGGAAACATACATTCACAGGGAGGTGATTACGCTGGGCGGAACTATCTTCTAGTCCCCCAATTCCCACTCTCAAAGCTAGGGAAAAACAAACCAGCAAAAAAGAAAAAAAACACCCTCATTTTCAGAAAATCCCGTTATGCATACAGAGAGCATCCCCTCATTCTCTGCACACCAGCTAGGTTTCTAGTTTGACTCCCCATCTTGTCAGAAGGGAAAGAAGTTGAGTTGTGTCCAGGGTAGACCATTTGCCTCGCCTGGGTTTGGTTACAGTTCGTGGATTGCCCAGACCGCCTATCAGGTGATGATCACAGGGAGGAGTTCAGGTCAGTCACGAGGAGGCTTTTGTTCATCTGGCCTTGGTGAATGGGTCCGTGGCCTGGCGTCTGTGGTGCTCCAGAGGCCAGACAGAGCCTCCAAAGAATCAGGCACTGGATGGGATTTTTTTAAAGTGCTGTTGTGGCGCCTACCAAATACAACTAACCCAAGCTGATGGTGGAATCAGCTGCCCTTGAGAGTCTGCGAGATCTGAGTGTTCTGCTGTAACTGAGTATAGAGGAGCCCTGGTGGCGCACCGAAAAGGTCGGCAGTTCAAGTCCACCAGCCGCTCCTGGGGAACCCTGTGGGGCAGTTCCACGCTGTCCTATGGGGTCGCTACGAGTCGGGATCAACTCAACAGCTATGGGTTTTAGAAGTAGAGTATATCGGAAGTTGAGTGTAATAATATCTAACATCCTCTGAGATAGTCACTCTTAACCAGAAGTGTGTAGCACAATCACCTATGAAGCTTTTGAAAATACAGATGCCGGGGCCTAACCCCAGGAATCTTTGGGGTAGAGGTATCTCTGATGCACACCCAGAGCTAAGCATCACTGGTTAACAGTAGTATTGCAGGGTGGCGTAGCTGTTACATCATACATACAAAGCGTTGGTTTCATTACAGTACACACAGGCCAATGAAAAGAGGCATTTATTCACTGTAGCGACTGTAACGTCAGCTTTGGTTATTGCAGTATTCTATGCTATTTTTAAATACCACTAATTTTGGTGATTATATTTCTTTTCAAAATTTAAATCTTGAACAAGCTATTTTGCATTTAAATTAAGAATCAAACAAATAAGCAGATGTTTAGAAAACTGTCTGACCCCATATAACCCTTACACCCTAGTTCAGGATCTTTTCAAAGCATCTGTGTTTTAATTCTCTGTTCTCAGATTATTCCTGAGATGAGACATCATCTTAAAATTTCAGTCGCTCATTTGTATTTCCCTCAAAGCCAGTTTGGGCCCCTGTCTGCTTCTAGAATCACCCAGTGGTTGGGGAGTAGGAGTGAAGCAAGAGCTGGGAAAAGGCTGGGAGAGGTCAAGGAAGAGACGTGAGAGGCAGCAAGGGAGAGCTCTGAGCAGGACTGAGCCTGCGGATGAGGGAGGAGGGTCCCAGCCCCAATTGCCAGCCTTTCCCCAGGGCTGTCCGCCTCTTTTCCCATCTCTCTTCCCGTTTCCTTCGGTTTCAGAGCCGTTCTCTTAGGGCCTGACTCCTCTCCCCTGGGATAATTTACGAATCGCATCCTTTTTCCCAGCCATCCTACCTGGAGACTCTAGTGAAGGACAGGGGAGGCTCACATTCCAACTTGGCCTTTCCTCAAATGCGATAATCGCTGAAGACAATTGAAAAATGCCAGTATTAGATAACATAAATATCAGTACGGCCAGTAGCCCTGGTATTGCAATCACTGCTTAACTACACTGTAATAAAATTGGCAGATCATAAGAACAACAGAGGCCTTCGATGGAAAGTCTTGCTCTGTTATTACCTAGACCTAAATTTGAAAGATAGAATTAGGTAAGGACCTTTAAGAATACTGTGAAAGATGTGTCATTCACTAATAAACCACAAATAATTTACATTTCCTTGTGAAACACCTGTATTTTATCTCCCTGAACTAACTCTCAGAGCCCTGGTGGTGCAGTGCGTAAGAGCTCGGCTGCTGACCAAAATGTCGGCAGTTCAAATCCACCAACCGCTCCTTGGAAACCGTATGGGCAGTTCTACTCTGTCCTGTAGGGTTGCTATGAGTTGGAATTGACTCCACGGCAACGGGTGTACAACTAACCCTACTACCAGTTGTCATCGAGTTGATTCTGACTCATAACGACCCCATGTGTGTCAGAATAGAACTGTGCTCGATAGAGTTTTCAGTGGCTGATTTTTCAGAAGTGGATCGCCAAGTCTTTCCTTCTGAGGCACCTCTGGGTGGGCTCAAACCTCCATCCTTTCAGTTAGCCATCAAGCTCATTAACCGTTTGTATCACCCAGGGACTTCAAACTGACTCTAACCCAGGATAATCGCTGTAAATTACTTGTCACACATTAGTCCTTTGCTGTCACGTCAGCTCAGATAGCGGCAGTGCACCCACAGCCCTTCCTCTCCCCTCTTCCAAAAAGGAAACATGACCTGGATTGGCCCCCCTTCTGACAATAGCCGAATCTCTAGCTTTCCTTTTGCCTCTTTTTAAAAAAGTGAATTTTTGTTGTTTTTGAAACTTCAGAGTTTTGCGTTAACTAGACTGACAACTTAGCTCTACCTTTAAGAAGATCTCGCTTTACTATTGATCCACCTCCGTGATATAAAAGACCTAGTGTTCTGCTTTGAGAATCCCACGTCCGAAAGGCATCATATTCCATTGTTCTCCTTCATGCCTTAGAGAGGAGGCGGGCATCGATTTAGACTGTGCTTTAAATTTATCTGTAGATTTTGTGTTTGGCATTCAATGCAAAAGTTTTTATAAAAAGAGTATTTTACATGATAGTATTTTAGGCTAACCCGTAAAAGCTTGTTTAACCCACAATGTAAATATATAATACTAGTAATACTAGAAGTGAGGAGGGCGAGACTCCGTTTCACGTACTTTGGACATGTTATCAGGAGGAACCAGTCCTTCGAGAAGGACATCATGCTTAGTATAGGGTCAGCGAAAAAGAGGAAGACCCTCAATGAGATGGATTGACACAGTGGCTGCAACAATGGGCTCAAGCATAACAATGGTTGTGAGGATGGCGCAGGACCGGGCAGTGTTTCGTTCTGTTGTACACAGGGTCACCATGAGTTGGAACCAACTTGACGGCACCTAACAACAACAGTAATGTATTGAATTCTGGATTGAGGAGAGGAAGGTTAAGAAAGTGGAGCACAGAGGGAGTGGGGAAAGAAGAGGAAGTCCTTTCTTTCTTGCTTTCAGAGCCGGCCTTAGACAAAGTTTTGAATTACAGAAGGTTTGTCTTTGGTGCCCCTCTCTGCTCCTTCTTGCCAGGGGCGCAGGATTCTCACACTTGCTCAGACTCTCCACTTCATAAGGACATCCAGATATATAGCGTCCTTCAGAGATACTACAGATTTTAAAAATCCAAAATTACCTCCCTCCATGTCCCAATCAAAACTCTCCCTAATTTCATTGTCAGTGTCTACATGATGTGGCACTTTTACAGTGTGTCTTAGTCATCTAGTGCTGCTATAATGGAAATACCACAAGTGGATGGCTTCAACAAACAGAAGTTTAGTCTCTCACAGTCTCACAGGCTAGAAGTCCAAATTCAGGGCACCAGCTCCAGGGGAAGGCTTTCTCTGTCTAATGGCTCCAGAGGAAGGTCCTTGTCATCAATCTCCCCCTGGACTAGGAGCTTCTCAGCACAGGAACCTCAGGTCCAAAGAACGTGCTCTCCTCCCGGCGCTGCTGTCTTGGTGGTATGAGGTCCCTAACTTTCTGCTTGCTTCGCTTTCCTTTCATCTTTTGCAGGATAAAAGTTGATGCAGGCCACACCCCAGGGAAACTCCCTTTACATTGGATCAGGGATGTGAACTGAGCAAGGGTGTTACATCCCACCCTAATCTTTAACATAATCTAATCTTGCCTTATTAACCACAGGCAGGGATTAGGATTGACAACACATAGGAAAATTACATCAATCACAAAATGGAGGACAACCATACAATACTGGGAATCATGGCCTAACCAAGTTGACACATTTTTTTGGGGGACACAGTTCAATCCATGACACAGTGGGAATATACAGGTACCACATGAATGCAATGAAACACGCACACAGAGAGAGCAAAACCCAACTCTTCCAAATACCGGTTGATCTCAAGGGTGTGGAGAAGGCAGGTAGCAGGTAGTGTGCGCTAGTTATGGCAGACTCCCATCACATGTTGGCATTTTTAAATAAGTGTATATGCTTGTTGACCAAACTAAAGGATTGGTGTCTTGTCGGGAACTGGGAAAACTGAAGTGGGAAGCTTAGGGAGTGTGGAAAAGAAATCTGGGGCCAAAAGAA